CATGGAGAAGCAGCGGCTCTACTCTGAATCCCTCCCGGATGATCGAGCTTCTCACCATATCTCTAAGGGAGAGCCCAGACACCCTGTGGAGAAAACTCATTTCGGCCGCTTGTATCCGAGATCTCATTCTTTCGGTCACAACCCAAAGCACATGACCATAGATGAGGGTAGGAACATGGATCGATCAGTAAATTGAGAGCTTCGCCTTTTGACTCAGCTCTCTCTTCATCACGACAGACCTGTACAGCGCCCGCTTCACTGCAGACGCTGCACCTATCCGCCTATCGATCTCACGCTCCATTTTTCCCTCATTCGTGAACAAGACTCCAAGATACTTGAACTCCTTCACTTGGGGCAGGACCTACTCCCTGACCCGGAGAGGGCACTCTATCCTTTTACAGCTCAAGACCATGGCCTCGGATTTGGAGGAACTGATCTTCATCCCGGTCGTGTCGCATTCGGCTGCGAACCACTCCAGCGAAAGCTGTAGATCACGATCTGATGAAGCCAATAGGACCACATCATCTGCAAAAAGCAGAGAAGCAATCCTAAGGCCACCAAAACGGATCTCCTCAACACCTTGGCTGCGCCTAGAAATTCTGTCCATAAAAGTTATGAACAGAATCTGTGACAAAGGGCAACCTTGGCAGAGTCCAACTCTCACCGGGAACAAGCCCGACTTACTACCGGCAATGCGGACCAGGCTCTGACACCGGTCATACAGGGACCTAACAGCCCGTATCAAAGGGCCCGGTACCCCATACTCCCAGAGTACCTCCCACAGGGTTTCCCGAGGGACGCGGTCGAACGCCTTCTCCAAGTCCACAAAGCACATGTAGACCGGTTGGGCAAACTCCCACGCACCCTCCAGGACCCTGCTGAGAGTGTAGAGCTGGTCCAGTGTTCCACGACCAGGATGAAAACCGCACTGCTCCTCCTGAATCTGATGTTCGACTATCCGACAGACCCTCCTCTCCAGAACCCCCGAATAGACCTTACCAGGGAGGCTTAAGAGTGTGATCCCCCTGTAGTTGGAACACACTCTACGGTCCCCCTTTTTGAATAGGGGGACCACCACCCCGGTCTGCCAATCCAGGAGAACTTCCACGCAATATTGCAGAGTTGCGTAAGCCAACACAATCCTACAACATCCAGAGCCTCAAAAAACTCCGGGCAAATCTCATCCACCCCTGGGGTCCTGTCACCGAGGAGCTTTTTAACCACCTCGGTGACCTCAGCACCAGAGATTGGAGGGCCTGACCCAGAGTCCCCAGGCTCCGCTTCCTCAGTGGAAGACGTGCTGGTGGGATTGAGGAGGTCTTCAAAGTATTCTGCCCACCGACCCACGACATACCTGTTGTAAAACTTTAATTTAAAGGTAGATTACGTCATATTTATGATACATTTTGCCAGCAGGGATTACGTGTATTTCTCATACCAACTGGCCTTCACTGTGTCCTAAAACGTAAAAAAATCAAAACCTAAAGAGTGTACTTATTATGGTTTTATGTTCTGCACAGTAACACTGTTTCGTCTTTCCTCACCTCTTCTTTAAAAGCGACTAACAACAAAAAAAGAACACTAAGACAACAGTAATGTGGTGTTTTTGTAAAGATTCTTGAAGCCCAGAGCCGTCCTGCTTTTTGTAACGTTGCATAGCTGTAGCCATACAATAGTGACTGAGCACTGGCTGGATTAAAAGACTGGGTATGGCTAAGACTCTGGTTTCTAAGACTCTGTTTTTTTTAGGTGAAGGTGGAAACTTTCAGTATGTAGCCTGTAAACTCCACTCCAGATTCAGCCGTCAGTCGGTCCAATAGAGACTGAAGCATACCTGGACTTCCACAATCGACCGTTGATGCTACAAACACATGAAGGCTTCCTTGTAAAAAAATAACCTGTGATATTTGGTTGTTTCTGACCTGATTTAACTGTATTAAACCTGATTGTTAATTGAATGAGGCTCTGGGTGCAAAGAGGAACGTGGTTTGGGGCAAAAATAATCAGGATGACTCAAAATGAGACAACCCGGGAGCTCCCCGTCAAGCTGTGACCCCCTTCAAGACGTCAAAGGATCCGCTTTATTTGTGCCCTCAAATCTATAACATTCATGCAAGACATTCACAAGCACTATCCGTGAAAACGAACCAGGAAGTGGCTAATCGTGTTCTCTAAGTGGCACATAATCGGTTCTTCGTGCGGACACAGTGTGCTGTTTTTTGTCGTCTTCGATTTCCGACACGTGTACAGTGCACGTCCAGATCAGATCATCAAACGAGCGGATAAGGCGCTGTAGGTGCCACTCGGTTTCACCGATGTTGCTGTTTTCACGTGCACTTTTTTACAGATTTACACATTTCATTCAGTTGAAATGTAAAACATTTGTTCCCTAAACACATTTGGCTAAATCCTTCACCATAACCAGAACTATACAAAAACCTTTCTGCTTTACTCGATAGCACCATTTGAATATTGTTCCCGAAATGTAAAGGGGTATGGGATTATTAGACATAGGGTGTGTGGGTTAAGCCTATTTCCCTGCTGCAGAGGAAACCCTGTGTTTGTGAACATGTGTGTGTGTGGGTACACTAAGCACATCTCCCGGTACCGGAGACTTGCATAGCTTCTACACGACAGGAAGAGCAGTTGTCCGTTTGGAAGGAACCTTTGGCACGGCCTTAGCCGATGACTGAAGGCAGTGATCGAGTCGCACCATGGAACTCAAAGGGACAACCTGCCCTCATTGCACCATAAATACAAGTGTTTCGTGTTTGCACCATAAGAAGCAGGGTTAGCAGCCAATCGACTCTAGCTTAAGAGCGTTGCACCATGTGAACGGCGACGCAGTTGCTTTTGCTCGCGTGGATTAAAACTCGTCGCCAGGTCGCAGCAAATGATTTGTTATTGGTCGACTAGCACCAGATAGAAAACAATAATTCAAGCTTACTCCTCGTTGAATGGTTATTTAAGCATTTCTGGTGTTTCCCTTTTTCTTTTCACTCACTCATTATTATTATTATTATTATTATTATTATTATTATTATTATTATTATTATTTCATACTACTTTCAAACTCACAAGGGATGAAAAAGGTGACAAACCTAGTGTCTGTAGTCAGGGTGGTGTCCTTTACATCCTACAACCCCCCATCCCCGGTCGACAACAGCCAGCATTTACGTAGCGCTAAGCTAGCACTACGTAAGTGCGTTAGCTTAGCTAGCACTACGTAAGTGCATTAGCTTAGTGCTTATGAGCTAGCGCGAGCTTTGCTGCAAGCAAAAGTTGCAAGCTAGCTAGCACAACTTACGCAGCACTAGCTTTGTGCTACGTAAGTCCATCCATCCATTTTAGTTTGTTTATCTGGGGTCGAGTCGCGGGGGTAGCAGCCTTAGTAGGGAGGCCCAGACTTCCCTCTCCCCAGCTACTTGGGCCAGCTCCTCCAGGGGAATCCCACGGCATTCCCAAGCCAGCTGAGAAATATAGTCCCTCCAGCGTGTCCTGGGTCTTCCTGGGTCTCTTCCCAGTGGGACGTGTCCAGAACACCTCACCAGGGAGGCATCCAGGATGCATCCTAACAAAAGGCCCGAGCCACCTCAACTGGCTCCTCTCAAAATGGAGAAGCAGCAGCTAAGTCCAGTCAAAGGGAAATTATGCCACCACGCCTCTGACCCCCCTACCCCCCAAAAAACTCTTTGGATCTAGACGATTCATGTAAATTACATATTTTTGATTGAAGTTGGCGATTTTTGCCAAAAAGTGACAAGTTTGCAGAGATGTTATTTAAATAAGTTCATCATGTTTAGCACAAGTTCCCAACCTTTGGAGGGAAATGATCACTATGAGTGACGGCTCTGATTTATTTTAGAGTGGGGCTATGTGGAAAGTTACAAAAACAACTAATATCTTACCTGTTGTAGGTAGCTATTTGAACAACGTTTGGAAAAATTGTTTATTTTGACTGGAACCACTTGCTAACGGCTAGTTTCAGCGGGGCCGAACCAAAGAGTATTGTTGTGGTACTAAAATAACCGTGATCTCAAAAACGTGATAGCAGTTTATGCTAACGCTAGTTTATATTTACACTGCAGTTAGTGTTGCATTACACCATTTAGGGCTGGACCCAAAATTAATATAGCTATTTATATAACTTTATTGTGATATACATTATATATTGGAGTGTTTTTTATTTTATTTTTTTATTGCACTTTAAGTCAACACTAATTGTGACTCGCTAGCAACGAAGTCCATGCTCAATAATCCAGGTATACAATCCAAGGATTTTTAGTCAGGTCAGCCTTGGTCTTCTGATACTTGTACCCTCAAAACAAACTTTACAAGCAGAAACTCCATGTCCTCTATATTGCCCACCTCTAACACTTTATTTTATCAAAAATATAAAACTAATCCGTCTGGAAGAGCTTCAGCCTGCACTAGACGTGCTACAGCTAGCTGCTGCCGCCAACACTGGTGATAGCAGTTAGACTAGCCATTAGCTCATCAGTCTGGACAGAATTAAACTCTATTCCTACAACATTAGGTTTTTCAAATGGCTATCTTCGATAGGCAAGATATAAATTACAGAACCCGCCTTTAAAAGGTTCTGAACTATCACTTTAATGTAGCTGAAACCCACTGCAGCCTCTGTTCTTGCTCTACTCTACCTGTTTGTATTTGTAATTATTTATATCTTAACGTGTTTTTTGTCTTTCCTCCTGTAGAAAGTTCACCTGGACCACCATTCTGTGTTCGTCTGTCTCTCCTTCCTGTCCTCTCAACCAAAGCAGATGGTCTCTTGTCCTGAGCTGGTTCTGCTGGAGGTTTCTTCCTGTTAAAAGGGAGTTTTTCTTTCCACTGTCTCCTCTGTGCTTGCTCAGGATGAGAGACTGTGATGAGGTGAAGATTCAACACAATCTGCTGCTTCCTCAGATAGAGAACTTTTACTAATTGACTTTTTAACGAACGTGAATGTTTCTGTCCTGTGACCTGAGACGACTTCTCTTGTGACTTGGTCTTTATAAATAAACTGAACTGAATGTTAGCTAAAGTTTGTTTTAGCTCTAATTAGTTTTTAGGTTTTCAGTTTAGCCTAAACGTTTAAAAATGCTCAAGTTTTTGTGCATTTAAACGTTTTATTAATTTGCTGCTCAGTAGAAGGAAAAGTACCCTTGAATAAAAAAGAATGAGTTTAGGCAGTAGACCTGTTTTCTTTGGGCTGGATCTAAATTTGACTGTTGTAGAAAAATTACTACAAATCTCCAATAAGCTGCGATTTTTTACAGTTTCATCTGTTTCAGCTCGTCTCTGCGTTTTATTTTGTTAGTTTGTGCACTACATTACAAGTTTATTATTTGCTACAGAGGACATAATTTATTTTTATGCAGATTCATCAGGTTTTGCTTTAGCTTTTATTTTAACATGAACATGAGACATTTGTCTTTTCTCTCCCGTGATTTGAAGGTCTCAATAGAAGGCTTTTAATTTGAAACGTTACCAGCTAGATTTGTCACTCTTCTTCAGTTCTGCTTGCCAAGTTGCTGTTGTGGTGTTCCTCAGGGACGCTCCTTACCCTTGTTCAACCAGAATGTTTTTTTAATCTCAGCTTAATTCAAGTTGAAAAGCTAAGTCTTCAGATTTGTCCGAACGTTTGGTTAGATAATCCTGCTCGGCCTCTCCTGGTTCAACAACCAACTCCAAAACGTTGTGTCCAAGTCACGGTACATTAAAATACGTCAGTTTAGCACATAAAATATTTACACTATTTCTGGACTACACAGCAACATATTCACAACTCCTCCTAGTAAAAGTTTTCTTCCCGTTCTTTTGTCTCGCGTTGCTTTATTCTACGGACACCCCTGAATGCACGATGATCGCGACAAGAATAGCGTAACTGTTTTTTTCTCCTCACAGCGATGCAACATTTAAAAGAATGAGACCGAATGGAGAGCGACTGAACAGAGGGGGAGAAGGTGAGAACTTGCCGAGTCGTGGGACTCGCAGGTTTCAGGTGCCCCCCATGCAACGTGTCTGAGAGCGATTGCTTCGATGCGAGTGTGCTTATATCAGTTTCATGAGTATGAAAATGTTTCTAAGTCTCTCCTAAATCTGCACGATCACATATACGTACATTTTTACGGTGCTGTGTGCTCAAGTGTTCTGAAGTGTGTGGGATGGGTGTGCGTGTGTCAGAGTGAGGACTCGTACTGCAAAAGTTCATAGAGCAAAGGTCCGTCGCGGTAGCGGATGCCCACAGCGGCAGGCGTTATGTACTGCAGGATGTTTATAGTCCTCCGCAGGCGCCTGTCTACGTAGTGAGCGTCCCACGCCGGGTAGCGCTTCCTGGGCATGTCGATCTTTATGAGCGGGCCCTCGGGCTTGGAGGTGGGGGGAGCGGACCTCACCTGGAAGACTGGAAGACACGACTCGGCCACGTCCTCCTCCGTCTGCGACTTGGTCATATGGGCTGGGGTGGGCGGGGCAGTGGGCGGGGCCGAAGGGGGGAGCGGGAGGCCCCAGAGCAGCTGGGCGCAACAGGACGAGGCGGGGCTCGGCTGGAGGTGGGCTGTAGCGGGGTGCAGGAAACCGTAGTACAGAAGCATGACCAGGACGCCGCTGGCAAACGTCAGGTAGACGCCGCACAGGGCAGGGACGGCGTACGAGTCGGTCAGCGCCGGATCGCGATAAGCGTACCTGCAGGGTAACAGAGAAACGTGAGCACACGTCTTTATGTGGTTATAGTTGAGAAGATGATGAAGGCAACTTAAAAGAAGTTCTAGAAGCATTTCACTTCAAACCCAATGGAGTTCCCCCAGTCTTGGGGGCGGGGTTTTCTTTTCTAAATTAAATCGTGTTCCGAGTCTCTGGTAAAAATGTATGGCATCTAAAGAGGGTCCTTCAGTACTTGGGGCGGCTGTGGCTGAGTGGTTAGAGCAGTCGTCCTCCAATGCTAGAGGGTTCGATTCCACCAGCACATGCCGAAGTGTCCCTGGGCAAGACACTGAACCCCCCATTGCCTCCAATGTGTGTCCCATTGGTGTATGAATGTGATAAAGCTCTGATTAGTCTTGTACAGATCTAGTAGAGTGCTGTATGAATGGGTAAATGAAGGCACAGACTGTGTTGTACAGTGCATTGAGTGTCTTGATAAGGTGGAAAAGTTCTAGATAAGTACAGTCCATTTACCATTTACTAGGCAAAGGTTTTTACACGTCTCTTTTTTGTTTTTTACTTTCAAGAAGCCAGACTTTAAGTGTTTTAAAGTCAATAGGTCACTAGTTCTGCGTTTCTGAATGTCTTCCAGAGTTTTTCTTTGGGATTTTCTCACCCATTTTACAGGAATGATCTCCAGCCCTCCGTCCCTACCTCAGTTTGTGATCCAAATAACACTCAGAAGACAGTTGTAGTAAATCCAAGGATTTTCTTTTCAACCTTGTTTGAGGTTCAGAATCTGTATTGAATCAGATGGACCTGGTATTCCTTCTCCAATGTCTTGCACAGGAGTGAGTAGTCGCTTTGAATGAACCCAGTTTGGCTTCTAGTAAAGCTATGCATTTCTGTCAGATGCAGGAGTGACCGGGTAGATTCTCTTAGACAATACACTGTACGTTCAGGCAAACTGCTCCTCTTCTGTGACCCAGTGTTGTGTTGACACATAAACAAGGAACCATCCATCCATCCACCATCTTTACCCGCTTCTTCCATTTTGGGTCACGGGGGTCGCCAGTGCCCATGTCCAGCAATCACTGTGCGAGGGGCGGGGGACACCCTGGACAGGTCTCCAGTCCATCACAGGGACACACAGAGACAAACGAGACAAACAAACATTCACTCTCTCACTCACACCTAGGGACAATTTAGAGTTACCAATCAGCCGAACCAATTTTAAAATAGATCTTTAGGCTTTAGCCTGCCAAGAAGTCACAATTTTTCCCCTTTTTTAGGTCATACGTATGGAAAAAATACAAAAGATTGCAAAATTTGACAAACAAGCAACGCCTATTTCGCCTGCCATTGAAGGATTTGAATAGTGAATGTTTGTAGATTTCGAGATGAGTGTTTGTCTGGGCTGGAAATGAACAGGGAATACATGTAACCCTTAATGTTTTTGGTGTAAAATAAGTGGGTAGGAGTTGCATTGTGCACAAGAACAGAGGTTGTTTTTTTTTTTTGCTTGACTTAGGCGGAAATGAGTGACAGATCCTGGCAAGTTTATCCACCACCAGGAGAAATGGTGGAGCCAGGGCTGGTCAATGGGGGCCTTAATGGCAACCATAGATTAATCTTTGACCACCCAACCAGTCCCCCCAATCATTTGAGGACATTTTAGGCAATCTAGAAGCATAGTTTCCTCAGATGATACTGGTGGCCAGTTTACATGTACATACTGTATGGTGGTGGCGTTCTTGAATCATGTCAGAACCTCACTTGTTTTTTTCAAGGTATCACTCACAACATGCTCGGACGAATGGGTGGAGTATTTCCAATTCCCCCTTTCATTCTGCTACAAGAGACAATAAAGTGATTTTCCAAGAGCTGTTGGCTGAAACCTTTATATACAACGGGTGAAAAAGCAGCCAAAGTAAAAAAAGAAAACCCTCCAAAGACCTTCAGAAAGGCTGAAATCTGTTGATCAAAACCAATTTAAAAGATTACAAGTAAGGACATTAAAAACAAATACAAAGAATTTAGAGGTGCTTTCAAACTTTTGCACAGCACTTTAGGTTTGGACAGTTTGCTGTCCAATTACTGCGTGAGTTGGACTTCTTGAACAATTCCACAAATGAATGCTCACCTATATCTACCAGGCTTTGCAGCCTTTAACTAATTGGATTTTGACTACAGCTGTAACTATACTAAAGATTTTTGGAAGAAATAATTGTGTCTAATCAGATGATCCACTTTGTACCTTGCTAAAGGGGTGCCATCTTGTCCCATTTATCAATTCCCTCAAACTTCAGTCTAACCGAATGGCTTTGACTTGTTTCCCAACAAACACTGATTTTTGGGATCAACTAACACCATCTTGGACCTTATCAACCATGGGACCGTGCAGTCAACAGCTCAGTCATGGTAACTCACCACAGGCCAGTGAGGATGGAGTTTTCAGCCAACACCACGGTGTAATACGCTATCATTCGATGACGCGTCCGCCCCTCCTTCACATTAAACCAACAGAAGATGTAGACGATCCCAACCACCATGTTGAAGAGCACCTCTTCCCACTTGGACATACAGAAGTCGGTGCCTCCGTGCACCACCCAGAAGGCCATGGCGCACCAGTGGACCACCACAAAGATGCCGAAGTAGATGTGGAAGAGGGAGGCGAAGAGGGCGAGGGAGAGGACACGGGAAGAGATGGTGAAGAGGCGCCAGAAGAGGTGCAACAGCGCCCCGCGGTAGCTCATACTGCGCTGGTCGTCCCGAGAGTCACGCAATAGCTTGTGGTAGGAGGCCAGAACCCAGGCGAGAGAAAGAAGGGAGGCCAGGGACGAAACGCCTGAGGAAATGAACAGAGGAGGATTACAGGTAGGGGAAATGTCATCACATCTAGCTTAATGACAGTATGACATCATCGCCATGTTTTTGGTGATTTTAGTTTGTTTCTGTTCAGCCTTCGGTTTCATTGTGTTCTAGATTATTATTGCTAAAATTAAATGTGGTGCCATCGGTTCCACATGGCCTGACTAACAATTCAAGACAGTGCACATGTCCTTTACAAGGTTCGATGAAAATGGCCACGATTCATTTCCTATCACTCTGGCTTGAAAGACGACCGGCAACATGCATTCCTTCAATTAATGTTTGACCTTTAATATTGTCTTCTTGTATCAACATAGCCATTAGATGTTCTCAGATATCCCTGCCACCAGCCCCTGTTGGTAATGAGCACATCTGTTGTTGCTCACTAATCACCGCTCGTCGGGTTCTTGAGTCTTCATCACGTCCTCTGGTCACCTTGTGTAAACTGACAGATTGACTTTGTTCTTAAAAGGACTGGTTGTAACAAAAGACCTTCTTTGATCAACAATTACTTGAGCTATAAAAACGAGACCACATAAATACCGTAAGCTGTTTAGTTTTCACAATTTAAAAAAAAAGATTGACAAGAATGTCGCTAGGGATGAACGATATTGGGCTTGTGGCTGATATCTGATATGCCGATATGTGAATCGATACCAATACCGATATTTTCCCCTTAGACCTCCTTACAGAGAATAAATGGCTCTCTCTGCTGTGGAATTAAAACACGACATTATTCTGCAGGTCTTCGTCAGTTCGGCTGCTTCCAGATGCAGAAGACAAAAAGGGGCTGAAAATGATGCAACACTTCAACTTGGATTATGTTTAATGTTGGATTATGTTTAATGTTGGATTATGTTTAATGTTGGATTATGTTTAATGTGGGATTATTCACGACATTTACTCTAACACAATGACGACACTAGAACAGTGCAGATTTGTCACAAATTTGAACTCAACCCGTTCGCACGTGACAAGTGAAAAGTGCACGAGTAGAAGTGCATTAATCGATATACTTGATAATTTCTTAAATTAAAAATTAACTTAAAACTGAAGCCTTTTATATCTGTGAGTTATTTTGATGGAACTGGTCAATGTTTGATATTTTAAATTATCGCTAATACCGGCCGATACGATACCATGCCGATAATATCGTGCATCCCTAAATGTCGCCTTTTTATCTACGCTGCAATGCATTCTGGGGTAAATGACGGACAGGTTGCTTTGGTGCGAGCTTCATTCAGCTTGAATGTTAATCCATGAACGCCTTATAGCTCAGATGAACCAGCTGGTGTGGAAGGGTCCCACCTAGAGCGGTTGACACAAGGCCAGACTGCCCTGACCATGAAAGTTCCCCAGAAAGGGCCAACCCTGTCCAACTACTGGCCTTTCACCTGCCTCTGTACAACACGAACGCTCCTATCAGGGATTATAGGGGCTAAGAGGAATAGGCACATGATTCAATACCTGACTGAGGCACAGAAGGGAATTGGCACGAACACCAGGAGAACAAGCTACTGGTTGAAAGAACCATAAGAGCAGACACACAGACCTGTGCACTGCCTGGACTGACTACAGAAAAGCCCACGACTCGGTGCCACACACATGGATATCGGAGTGATTGAAGCTATGCACCATCAACAGGACACTAAGAGCCTTCATCGAGAACTCAATGGGAATGTGGACGGCAACTCTAGAGGCCAATTCAAAGCCAACTGCACAAGTCGGCATTAAATGTGGCATACAGTAAACCAAGGTGCTGCATCGTCGCCACTCATGTTCTGCATAGGCCTGAACCCCCTCAGCCTCCTAACTGCAAACAGTGGCTGTGGATACCGGTTCCAAAGTGGAACAATCGTCGGTCACCTCCTCTTCAAGACTGACATTGACGTGAGCGAGACATTGGCCCACTGATCCACCTCACCAGGATACACAGCAAGGTCATTGGAATGTCATTGGAACTGGATAAATGCAGTCGAACTGTATGCGAGAGGCAAGGTGATCCCAACTGAAGGAGTTGATCCATGTCACAGTAGGAGTTGTACAGAGTTCACAGGCTGATCTTGTTTGAGCGTTTCGACCCATATATTTTGCATAAGGACTAAAAATATCACTATTGTCCCATGTTATAATTTTCGCCTCGACTCCTTGTGTTGTCTCTACTTCAGCCGATGTATCTCATGGACCCAGAATGCATTGCACTGGTAAAACATAAATGGTCCTGTGAAAACCGTAATAAACTCCAACCTCCAGATAGAGGGTGAAACGTCTCTATAAAAAAGAACTGTCCAGATGACCTGACTGAGAATTATTGGATTTGATACCTGGATGATTGAGCATGAACTTTGTTGTCTTGTGTAAGTATTTAGGTGTTTTCATGTGTAACACACAAGCAACTTTTAGTGGAATATAGAAACAGCACATTAAGGCCAATATGTGCAATGGGAGATCCCTTTAACACGTTTTGCTACCGCTCAGTTCCTGTTATAAAACATCTAGATTTACCTTGAGTTCTGCGTTTGGGTCCTGCTACGGCCGCTGTTCAGAGCGAGATGATTAAAACTGCATGAGGGTGTTCTGTGGGAACGCTGTTAACATATTCGTAAGAGGTGGCGTGTGACACGACCGAAGCTAAGGGCTGTTTTAAAAATGGGAGCGATGAGTGTCCCAGCTGTCGTTTGGATCCCCGGAAGGAAGTGCCTCAAAAACCACGGAGTGTTGGGGATGAATAATGTGCCTCGTTCATACACGTGGAGGAAGAGGGGGATGGAGACTGGCTAGCTCATTCTCCCATCATTTATGACTGTTCATATGAATACCTGTACTCACACAAGCCTTGTTGGAGTCCAAAGGAGCACCGTCTGCAGACGCACATTACCGAGCACACTGTGTGCACATGGCTAATTACTGCTTATGCAGCTGTTAGATTACAAGGGCTTTGTTAGCTACACGGAAACAGCATTAGTGCCAGTAAACGTTTCCCATTTGCCTGCTTTCCCCGTTCCACCTACACTGCAGCGTCTCGGCCCGGTTCTCCTGAATCATGATGCAGAGCTGCAGGACCAGCTGAGGCGCGGACTCCAGGAACGTCTCCAGCAGGCGCAGCATGTTGACGTCCGCGTACTCGCACATCATGGCCCAGTACCAGCGCCGCTGGTGCTCCTTCTGTCGGCGCGACATGACGCCCAGGTACAGCGTCCTGATGTACCTGGTGGGGTCAGAGGTAGAGAGATGTTTTCTGATGAAAAGGCTGAAGAGAGCAAACGCTGCGGTGAGAAGAAGCAGGTTTTAAACAGCACAAAGACTTTGAAGGATGTGGAGAGCTCCGTTCATTGTCAATGAGGACAACATGGCCGACAAAGCTAAACATTTCAAAGAGTCACAAATGCCAGAATGTCTTGAATGAGCCACGTTTTGATTTGAGTATCGAGTCCTTTTGTTTTTCTTTGACGACCAAATGTGGCCCCTCCATCCTGTCACGGTGGGACAATGGTCTTGTGGTTCCCAAACCAGCCGGATCATGAATCTCCCACCGCTGTGCCTGACAGTTGAGGTATGAGGCATTCAGTGCATTGGGTTTTAGAGCCCGACCAATATGGAAGTTCTGGCTATCACCGATACCGATGTTGGGAGGGAAATGCTAACACCAATAACATATAAATAATATAATGGCTGACAGTTTCTGAGTTTTGTTCCCCCCCCCCCAATCTAAGAGCTACTTTTACCTTGTGTGTGTAAGGACACGGCTGTTTCCAGCATTTTCTAGGTGGAAATTAGAAGTTTGGCGCTAGAGCTGGACGATATCTCGATATTTAAAAAATAACATAATTGTTTTTGTGATATAAGCTGAGACTATCTCGATATAAAACAATATAGTTTATACTTGAATATCCTCCTGCTGCCCCCCCCCC